GAAGGACAGCTTGACAAGCTGAAGAAAGAAAGGCAACAAAGACAGTTTCAGCTGGAGACTCTGGAGGCTGCGCTGCAGAAGCAAAAGCAAAAGGTAATATCACTGAAAGGCTCTTCAAAACCAGTCACTCTTTATAGAGAAATGATTTTATCTTTAGATGGTAATTGCCTTTGTTGCCTTTTCCATTTCCTTTTGTTCCTTCAAAATGGAATCAACACTACGTTTCTCCATTCTCTATCCTGATTTTTGCTTACCTGCTGTTCCATACAGTTGCTGAGTGTCTCTTTAGCTTCCATGTGGGACAGTATTAGTATTAGTGTTTTCCTCAATCTAAATGGATAGTGCTTTTTTAAAAAAATACATGATAATAAATTTTATTAGTTAAAATTCTTACATATGGCAGCATGATTCATAGTAGTCTACTAGTCTTTCACTCCATTGAGTAAAAAATAGGTAGATTAAAAGGTGAAATATGCTGTTATGATGTACGTTTGAGTCAGAGCTGACTCATAGCTGACCCTCTAGCAGGCTTTTCAAAGGCAGGAAGTAAATCGCAGGGGAGAAGATTGCCCATTTCTTCTGTGGAGCAACTGGTAGATTCAAACATATGTGCCTTTGAATTGGCAGTGCATCTCCTTACCATTAAGCCTACCTTGTTAATTTTAATATTTATGAAACTTGTTTAAGGTTGTTAAGATAAAAATAATTTATTTTTATTTGAATGTTTTTGTTATGTGACCTTGAGTCGCCTGTGACTCATAGTGACCCTATGTACAGTAGCCCTAAACCCTGCTCTATCCTGTGCCAATCTGTCTCTGACACATCCACCCCTATTACCCCTAGTTAATCAGTGCACTTCATAGAGGGTCTTCCTCTCCTGCGCTGTTCCTCCACCCTCCCAAGCATGAAGTCCCTCTCCAAGGACTGGTCCCTTCTTGGAACATGTCCAGAGTATGTCAGATGAAGCTTCAGAATCTTTTCCTCCAAGGAACATCCTGGTTTAACCCTCTCCAGGATGAATCTGTTTGTTCTCTTAGGAGTCCATGGTACACTCAGTACTCTTCTTCAGCACCACAGCTCAAAGGCATCAATTCTTCTTCTTTCCACTCTATTCATCGTCCAGCTCTCTGATGCATAACAAGTCATTGCAAAGACCATGTCCTGTATCAGGTGCATGTTAGTCTCCAGAGAATAAAATTTTTATTTTATACTGGTTTACTTACAAAGTTTGTATTCATTATTTTTCACACTACATCTTTCCAATTTCCTTTACCCACACCTCTCTTCACTCATCATGTTGTGCGACCCTAGGATTACCTCCCTGCCCATTTTCACCCCTCTGCTCCTATCCTCTCTCCCTTGGACTCTCGAATACATTCTATAATAATGGTCTTATACAGTATTTGTCCTTATGGGCCTGAGTTAGTTCACTTAGCACAAGTTAGGTAGTGGTTTACAAAATCATTGCTCCTTAGTGCTGCCTGGTATTCCATCGTGTGAATGCTCCATAATTTCATAATCTGTTCGATTGTGGCTGGACATTGGGGTTTTTCCATGGTCTTGTGATGGTGAATAACACTGTTATGAATATTGGTGTACGAATTTCTGTGCCTCAGTTCTCAATTTTCTCAGGGTATAAGATAAAAATAATTTCTTAAGCATCTTATCCTCAGCATCATGGAGAAGATAATTATCCTCTAGAAGGGACTCAAAAGTTGTTTATTGGTAAAAAATGTTTACTGTGTAGATTTTTATCTCATTGCAATTTAGAGTTTTCTTTTGTTTTTGTTTCTTTGCACACTTTTTGAGAATGTTGTTTTATTTACCCTTCCAATTTCTAGACTTCCATTTAAGACTGCTCTGCATTAGCCAAAAAAGTAATGCTATAATCACCGATTCTAAATGACTTTTCTGGAGGGAGAATGTTTCACTTTCCTAAGATCACTTGTTTTAGTAGCTAGACTTGTAAATGAATTATTTACAGATTTCTAGCTTTTTGTTTTTTACTTTTAAAATGAATTACACAAAATATGCTGCCTCAGAAATGAGAAGTTGTGGTAAAGTAATAATAGCATAAAGTTTACCATTTTAACAATTTTTTAGAAGTCATTATTTGTATGTTTGATGTTAAACATTTTCAGTTTCTAAAACTTTGTGCTAAGTAATTCTATTTGTTTTTCGTGCCAGTGTTTTTTGTGTGTTTTTGTTTTCCAATTCTTCAAAGGACAGTGAAATCTCTTATAAAGGTGATGTGTAGCCTGCCGTAATTAAAGACAATGTCATAGATGACCTCGTCTACCTTTAGGCTCAAAATGTGGTCACCTCAAATGCCCATCGTGTTTATAGGACACTGACAGCTGGGTTATTACAGCCAAACCTAGGAAAACTAGTAGCTGATATCTAGCTCATATTAGTAAGTAATATTTAGTAAATGTATGTATTTCTTTCTGGATGATCCCTGTCAGGTTGAAAATGAGAAAACAGAGGGGGCAAGCCTGAAAAGGGAGAACCAAAGTCTGATGGAAATGTGTGAGAATCTGGAGAAGACAAAGCAGAAGATTTCTCATGAGCTTCAGGTCAAAGAGTCACAAGTGAATTTTCAGGAAGGACAACTGAATTCAAGCAAAAAACAAATTGAAAAACTGGAACAGGAACTTAAAAGGTAATTTTTAAAATGAGGTTCCTGTAGACTTGAGTTATATATGTGTATAGATAGATGTCATAACTGTACAATCTGTCCTTTAATGAGACCAGTCTGTCAGGATTTGTGATGCTAATCAAAAGTGCCTTTCTGGGAGTTTTAATCCCACCTGCTCCGTTAGGAAAAAAGTGGGGAATATCCTCCCGTGCAATTTACAGCCTTGGAAATCTGGAGGGTCAGCTTTGAGTTGATGCAGAAATTGATGGCAATTAAATACAAATAAAATTATATGTATGATGTTGTTGTTGTTGTTGTTGTTATGTGCCATCGAGTTGCTTGGAACTCATAGCGGCCCTATGTACAAGAAGAGCTCTAAATGCTGTTCTGTGCTGTGCGAACCTAGCCATCGCACACGCACTCATTCCCACCACTCCAGTCACAAAATTGATCCATCTCATTGAAAATCTTCCTCAGTGAGATATATGTGTGTGTGTATGTATATATATGTATATATATATGTATATGTTGTTGTTATGTGCCATCAAGTCGTTTGTGACTCCTAGCGACCCTATGTACAAGCCCTAAACGGTGCTCTATCCTGTGCCAATCTCATTGCCTCTGACACACCCATCCTGATTAACCCAGTCATTGAATCAATCTACCTCATAGAGGGTCTTCCCCTCCTGCGCTGTCCCTACTCTACCCAGCATGATGTCCCTCTCCAAAGACCTGTCTCTCCTTACAGCATGTTCAAAGTATGTCAGGCGAAGCCCCAGAATCCTTGCCTCCAAG